AAATAAAAAACAGCCATTTGCGCCAAAGCACAGGAAGAAATGGACGCTTCTTCTTCTTCTTCTTCTTCAAAGCAACAGCACCAGCAGAAATCACGCAGTTTACTCCTACTCTCTTCCCCATTTATTCACACCCCATTCCCTCCCCAATTATTCACGCAGTCCTCTCACTCTAAACCCAACCTCCAATCCAATGTAAACATTGTTCGTCATCTCCATAGCTCTATCGTATCCACTGCTGAGAATTGCCTCACATTCTTAGACACATTCGCTTCCCCAAACCCACTTCTCGACAAAATCTTCCATTTCTTCTCCTCCCATTTCCACAATTTCTCCCAGGTATCTCTCTCTTTCGGTTTGTGTATGTGTATGTGTATGTGTATGTGTTTATTTATCTATATATATATATATATATATATATATTTTATGTCTATATATGATGGTTTTAAGTATAGGAAACAAGGTATTGTAATAGTTTGGTCATTAACAAAAATGAATAATGTATTTGCATTTCCGAAGTTGTGTGTATTTTGTTTATTATCTGTTAAATATTAATTGGTTATTAAGAACTAGGAGTTGAATCCTGCTATTTTATTGTGGGTAGCTTGTCAGTTCTATATGATGAATAATGAAGATGAGCGTTAGTTCATTTAGTATCCACCCAGTTGGGTGAGATTCAGTAGGCCTAGGTTTGAAATGCCCTTATGTAGAGTGGATTCATGAACAATTGTAAAATATAATTATAATGACCTAATAAAAATGTAATTTTTCTTATTTCCTTAAGGGAAAAAAAAAAAAGTGGAAATGTTCACATATGTACTAGACTTCAAACTAGAAATGCCACCAATTGAACAAGGACCATAGGTACAATTTAAGTTTGGAAGGAATGACAAGGTCAAGATGAAGACCAGAAGGCTGTCGGATCGAGTAGAAAAGATGTGATTCTTTTTATCCCCTGATGAGAAAGTATGTGATGAAGTGTGATTTATGAGAATGGAAAGCCCCTAATAAAGCTGTATGACAAAATTCCATGTGTAACCCAACTCCAAGTTTTTGGAATATAAGGTTTTGTTGAGTTTTTGAGTTGATAAATTGGAAAATATTTAAAGGTAATATCAATTTGACTTGCCATCCAATTTGAGGGTGATATCTGTGGAACCCCAGTATTAGGAAATTTGTAGTAGTTCCAGAACCTCGCATTAACTGCCTTTCGCACGGCTTTTATCAGTGTGCTCTTGGATTCGGATTAGATTCCACAAACAATGACTATAAAGTGGTTAGAATTGTTTACCTCTATGATAGCATTGTTGAGATTGACATTTATTCGCTTAAGGAGGGATGGTGGAGAAACCTTAGTGTTTCTGGTCCTGTACTCCCTCTCTGTTGTGATTCATCTCAAGTTTCTCTCAATGGGACTATCCATTGGCTTTCCGGAGGTGGTAATTTTCCTGGCCCGTTCATTGTGACATTCACTTTGGGTACTCAGGTATTCTCTTTGATGGAGCTACCAAGGAGTCTAGTTTATAAAAAGGCACCACGTAGGTTGTCTATTGCAGTGTTTCAAGACTCAGTTTTTGTGTTCAAGAATGATTATTATGGCAAAGTATCAATCTGGATGATGAAACAGGATGGTGCTGTGGAGTCGTGGACCAATCTGTTTGGTCTTGATTTTGATAGAGAAGGTTCTGTGAAAGTTATTGGCTGGAAGAGGAATGGTGAAGTTCTTTTGACTAAAGATGAGGAGATGGTTTCAGTTGACATTAAGACTCAAGAGTTCAAGAATGTTGGGATGCGTGGATATGATGAGGCATTTTGTGTCAATGTTTACACAGAGAGCTTAGTGCTAATTGACAAAGTACATGGAGGCTTCGGTGAGCAAGCACGCTCTTCTCTGTTGCAGGCACCAAGAGCAGAGTTGGAGGAACCAAGAAAATTATAAGAACCAAGAAACAATAGAAAGAGCAGGCAAGATATATATATATATATATATATGTACCCCACTTTTTTTTAATCCTATTAGTAGTCCTTCCTGCATGACATGTATATGAATGTCAAATGCTAGTTTAATGACATATCTGTGTGGTCATGGTCAATATAAAGTTTGTGGTCATGTATCTCTACTAGTAAAGAGTAGTAGGTTTTAGGTGTCTTACTAGGTGGAGTATTAGCTAAAGTTTCAATGTTGATTTTGTTGTTACCTCAGTTGCTTTCACTACTTGGACAGGGATGCAATTAACACTTTAGAGTGATGATGTACTTAGCTCCACTAATGGTTCATTTGTGACTGATTTTCATTTCGTATGAGACTTGACCTGGATTATATTCTCTTCTTACCTGGAATGATTTTTATATGATAGAATTGGTAGCATGGAGGGAGAAAGCCAGTTTGTTTGTTCAATAGCTTCTACATGCCTTGTTGAAAATGTATTTTGTTCATACTCCCTTTTATTTTATTTTCTTTTAATGCCATTTTCTGCCATGAATTTGTTGTTGTGTGCGCTAAATCATTGCAGATAACATTTAACTCTTATATTCTTTGTGTGGACTTGCATTGCACTTTAACTTTGATGCGTTTATCAGAATCAGAAAATAAAAGTCTATTTTACTATAATGTTTGGCCTCATTCTAAAATCAATAATCAAGATCACAACAAGGTGTGATTTATATTTTCATATGGGGTATGTAGTAACTCAGGCCAGAACACCTCCTTATTGTTTGATTCTTGGCTTTCACGTGGCGCTATTGTTCTTTCAGAGGGTCATAGAGTTTTCAACTTAGGTATTCCTAAAGATGCTCAAGTTGGCTGACATTATATCTGATAGAGGGTGGGAATGGCCTGAATTGCATGCGAGATAATATTTGGGATATTGGTTCTTTGGTTGCTCAAACTCTCTGTACCTTCTAGGATAGGGAATAATGATGTTGTTTGGTCCAGCTCCAATAAGCCCTTCTCAGTTAAGGATGCTTATGAAGATGTCAGACTCAACCATAACTTGTGGGGCTGTTTGATTTAAGGGAGGTGTTCCAAAGCACTGTTTCATCCTCTGGCTTGCTGCTAAGGATACACTAAGCACTATGAACAAGCTCCTTCAATGATGTATGTCTCAATCAGACCGATATATCCTTTGCTGAAGGAATGTTGAAAGTGTTCATAATCTATTCTTTATAAGTCAGTATGCCTTGATCTAAGAGTCTGTTGCTATTGCTGTTCGAGATTCTCGAATGGAGCAATCACAAGTGTCAGTCTAAGAGGAATTGGTACCATCAAGTTTGCAAAATCTCCACATGATTTGGAGAGAAACAAACTCTGGAAGATACTTTAATTCTTATTTGGATGAATTCTCTGCGTCTCTTCAAATTACCACTCTATTAGACTTAAAATGTTGTCCTTTCCTGCAACTAGATTCAACAGGCATACTGTTGGATACATCCCTTTCTGGAATGTTTGATTCTTTCTGTTGGTTTGCTGTTGTGCTGTGCTGTGGTTAGTTATTGTTTGTACTATTGGGGGTTGCCCATTTCAATTCTGTGCTGTGTTTTCTTGAATAAAATAGATAACTTATAAATAATAATAATAATAATAATAATAATAATAATAATAATACTATTACAAAATAAAAAATCTAAGTTGGAACAGCTTGAAGTTAAATCAGCCTATTTCCCTTGAGGTTTTGAATTATGTAGCAAATTGCCCCCTGCCGTTAAGTACTTGACGGATTATGCTGATGTCAGCATGAGAAAATTGTTTGAAGGTCAATTTTGCCCTTCTAATGTTTAAAATGACATTTTTAACCTCACTTACCAATATACAGTTACCAATCCATCCGTGACCTATTAACACCAATGTACCAAAATGACCTTCCTCTCACATTAACAAACCCAGAAACATCACACCCAATTCACCACCACCACTGCAAAAGAACACGACACCCTTCTTGGCCTTGGCCTTCAAAATAAAGCAAAGAGGTTACTACATAGCCTTCATCAACACTCCTCTCAACATTAAGAAACTCCAATTTTCTCTCCCTCCAAACACGACTTGTAGAAACGTTTTTGAAAACACTGGAATAATAAAAGAGCTAAAGGAGAAAAGCCCTAAATTAATTCCTGAAGATTAACCCTCATTAATCCAAATACACTCGATCTACTGCCCTTGTCTTCAAAAACCCTAAAACTATGTATATATATACATATTCTTTCCAAAACTGTAACTAGATATAACTAAGAAAACAATACCACTCCTGTAACCTGATTTAAGGTGTTTTTCTCTTTTGCCTAACTGCATTAACTTAAAAAATTAAAGATTCATATATATATACAACACAAATAGTTGTTGATTTTTATATTATTACTATGTTCTGCTATCCAAATTTATATATTTTTCTTCTATCAAGCAACTTGAAAAAAAAAAAAAAAAAAAAAAAGACTTGGTATGATAATTTTTTTTTGTTTGATATGTTCAATGGAAGTTAAAGGAAAGGTGATATCAATGGAAGCTAAAGGAAAGGTGATATCAATGGAATCAGGACAAAAGGTGATATCAGTGGAAGCTGAACGAAAGGTTATATCAGTGGAACGGGAACAAAAGGTGATTTCCAGTTCTTGATGGTGTCCTCTTCATTTTACCGAGGACTGAGGTCAGTTGCAGCAGGTTTTTTTGCTTCCTCTACTTTGGGGTTTCTTTTGGGATTTCTGGTGGGTAGCTTTGTATTATGCCTTTGGCTTTGCTTGTCCATTTTGGAATAAACAACTTAACTTCAATAAAAGTCATATATTGCCTCCATATAACTTTGGTGGAACAATTTGATTGCTTTTTTAATCTGTTTACCTAGCGAATGAAAAAAGAAGAAGGTGGCGGGCAGGCATTTTAAATTTGATTAATAGTCAAAATTAACATTAATAGTTTAAATTTGGTGATTACCTTTTCAAAGGTTATGGTAAGGGTTTCAGCTTTTCCTCCCTTCTAATTGTTCACTGGTAGAGACTGGTTTGGTTTAAGCCTTCTATCCCTTGCCATTATTTCATTCTATCAGCCTTGTGAAACCCCATCTCTCACACATACACATGAATATATTCGATAAAATTTAATTAAAGGTTGACAATCAATTTATCTTCATGTACTTATAAAATTTTGCACAAAGTTACACACATAACCCAAACACAGTTAAAAGCAGGGTACACTAGTTGATTGTAGACAATCTAAATCAAGCTGAGAGGGACCAACTATCTGCATAAAAAATGTTGGGCAACATTAGTATTTCACTGTCTCCTAAATGTTCTTGATTCTGGAAGAGTTGTGTAGCAAAATCGTTCAACCAATTGCAATCTTCTTCTGGTTGCGTTGATACTGTTTTTCCATCAAATTCAATTGCTTGTGTGCTGAGGTTGCTGCAGTCTTCAGCTTGCATTAGTACTGTTTTTCCATCAAATTCAATTGCTTGTGTGATGAGGTTGCTGCAATCTTCAGCTTCCATCAGTGCTGTTTTTCCATCAAATTCAATTGATTGTGTGATGAGGTTGCTGCAGTCAAAATCGTTCAACCAATCCATGCAATCTTCTTCTTCTTCTGGTTGCGTTAGTACTGTTGTTCCATCAAATTCGATTGCTTCTGTGATGAGGTTGCTGCAGTCTTGTAATATGGGTTCCATTGCATGTGTGATGGTATTGCAGTCTTCAAGTGCCGGAGTTACTGTCACTTTGCACTCCTCCGCTTGCATCACCTTAACTTGGGATTCCAACTTAATTTCTTCCTGCTTTTGCCTTTTAATTCGACAAATTACATAGTCTTTGACCTGAGTAACATATCAAATCACTATTTAGAGACTGTTGAATTCTAAAAAGATAAAAAAAAAATATAAGAGACATATATATATATATATACACACACACACTGTACTTACTTTTGCTCTTTGGAGATTAGTGCCCTCAAGATTATATTCAGTCATGCTCCATCCACTCTTGGCCTTCGCCGCCTTAGCATCCGATTTCATTCTATAGGTAAAAGTTCTCTTCCTTCCTATCAAGCCAGTTTCTTGATCATCTCCCTCACCGGTACCAGTAGTACCATCGACATCTTTTATTATAGGTTTAGCCTTGTCTTGCCCCTTCCATGTACCCATCGTCGCCGTCACACGATCAATCCTCGACCCGTTTCCGTGCTTCTTCTTCAACTTGGTGAAAAAATAAAGAACATTCTCTTCCGAACCCTCAAAAAGCTCTGAGGGCTCCTTGCCATAAACGTCACAGTCCTTCACAACACCCTCCCATGGTAGGGCTTCTTCCTTCGCCTTGCACACAAGATACTGAATCAACTCACTGTCGGTTGGAAGAAACTTATAACCAATCAAAATTTCTTCCATATCTTTTTCTCTCCTTTTGACAGGCTTCGTAATGCTTCTGGGCATCAACGCGATGAACTAAGTTTCCACGGCAGAACGGAGATCAAACTTCTGAGAAATTAGACTGATCGTACCTGCGGGCCAGAGAGAGCCGCCGCTTGACTGAATTCTTGGAACCTTCGTTCTTTACAAAACCTAAAATCCTATAGATAATGAGGGCCCTTTTATAGGCAACTTACTTACCATAAAGGTACGCCTCGCCGCCTCCAATTTAAAAATTAAAGACAAAAAAAAAAAATATTAATAAAGGTTCGCCGCCTTAAAGACAAAAAAACAAAAAATAAAAAAATCTAATAAATTGACAGCTTTGCGCTCTCACCCCTCCAAGCCTAATATAATAACTTATGTTTTGCTCTAACCTTTTTTTTTTTTTTTTTCTTTTTTTCTTTTTTTCTTTAGTTGAGAAATAAAAAATAACAAAAACGAAAGACCATTTATCCCTGCAACTTTTTGGTCTGTGATACTATCATAAATTAAGATTTTTCTATTGGATCAGATCTCTCATCTCTTCTTATGTTAATTTAAACAAGGCCAAGTAAAATAGGTAAAAAATTTACTGACGACATTTTTTTTTTTTTTTTTAATTTAAGGAGATCGATGTAGGAGTGTAAAATTTTCACTACAATTAATAATGAAAGAAAGTGGATCGCTAGGTTGAATTTTGGAGCATCAATATCATCACCTTTTTCATAAAATATTATGGTACAAAAAATTAGAAACAAATAATCATCAATCAATTAACGTTAATTGGGTTGTGGATTTAAATGAAGACTTTTTATAATACCAATTTGATTATTGTTGTAATTTGGTTGGATTTGAGCCAACTCATTCACCCGGGGTTAAAAAAAATTAATAATAAGTGACATTTTGTCATGCAATTCCTAACGTATGAAAGAAAAATATATATTGTTGTTTTTCATCAAAGATTTTATAACAAAATTTGAATAATTTTTGTAGCAACTTAAAAATTTAGTTACATCATTGTATGACCAAAACTTAAGTGGAATTTATCCTTAGAATATTCATCAAGCCTACCAGCTGTATAGCCCCTACGCTGTGGGTTAAAGATAGTTATCTACAACTTAAACATTTTTCAAATGATGACATCTTCCAGATTTGGTAAAATAAATAAAGACATCCCAACATAAAATTTGATAAAAGTACTTACTTGCCTTTGACTTCTGAATTGACCCATGTGAAGTATTAAATTATTTTTATAATCTCGTATTAATTGACCAAAATGACCCTCAAGAATGAAAAAACAAGTAAGAAAAATGTGACATGTTGTGTAAATAATGCTTTAGTAAACACTAAGAAATAAAAAGATTAGTTTATGTGTGATTACTTGCAAGTGATATTTAATATGACTATTAAAAATGGTCTTTTAATATTTAATATATTACTACGGAATAATAATAAAAATATATTTAAAAATCATATTTCTTAATTTTGAAATGGAAAATCAAAGTTTTGTATTAAAATTTTGTTTAAGTATTAGATAATATAACAAATCTATCTATTTCAGCGAGCGCATTAAACATGCAAAGATAAAATTTTCTTATAATAATTTTATATTATTTTAAAATTTTAATTTTGCATTACTAGTTACCCCTTTAAAAATTCTTGGCTCCACCCTTGTTTGTTTGGCGGTCACAGTGGTGGAGTTTGGTGTTTGTTTGTTTTTTTTTTTTTCGAAGGGTTATTCTGGTCAAATAAAAAGGCTTATAAGACTTATAAATGTTAATATTATACTTTAATGGTTTAAATGGGTCAATTTAATAGTCTGAGATGTTGTTGTTCAAGTTTATAAATTTAGAAATAATTAAATCACACTCTTTTTAAACTGTAATTATTGTATCTACCTATCTTTATTACAAAATGAAGAAAATGTGAGTGCAAATTACCATAGGGGGGCTCCCCTATAGTATGGTATTAATTACTCCGTTTTTCACCATTATTGGTTCTTTCAATGGATTGGTATGCCTTAACGAGTATACACCGAGCAGCACTAGGGATGTTTTATATTTGTGGAACCCCTCTATTGGGAAATTCATAGTACTTCCAGAACCTCGCATTACCTATTGTGATCGTGCTCTTGGATTCGGATTCAATTCCACAACTAATGACTATCAGGTGGTTAGAATTGCTTATGTTTCTAGTGGCCTTGAGGTTGACATGTATTCTCTTAAAGAGGGCTGTTGGACAAGAATTAGTGTTTGTGGTACCATACCCTGTATCCGTTTTGATTCATCTCATACTTCTCTCAATGGGACTCTCCACTGGATTTCCGAGCCTGGTCATCGTTTCCCGTTCATTGTGTTTTTCAATTTGGGTAGCTAGGTTTTCTCCTCCATGGAGCTACCAAGGTGGCTACATTTTATGTCTCTTGAGTTTTTCAAGACTCACTTTTTGTGTTCCATAGTGTTTCTCTGGAAGGCAACATCTCAATCAGGGTGCTGAAACAATACGGTGTTGTGGAGTCGTGAACCAATCTGTTCACTCTTGATTTTGGTAGAGGAGCTTATGTGAGAGTTACTGGCTTGAAGGGGAATGGCGATGTCATGTATCTTAGGGTACATGGACATGCATTTGGTGTCAATACTTGCACAGAGAGCTTAGTCTTAATCGACAAAGTAAATGGAGGCTTTGGGGAGCAAGCATAGTATTCTCTATCGGAGGCACCAAGAACCGAGTGGGAGGTCTTCTCTATTACAGGCACCAAGAACTGAGTTGGAGGAACCAAGAAAATTAGAAGAACCAATATACAATAGAACAACGTACGATATGGTCACCGAGAGGTTATTACATGGTCTCGGACCAATTACCAATGGACACATAAGTAATTGTGTCAGAAATGTATAAGTTTTTTTTTTTTTTTTGACTTTTTGCTTACACGTCCAATATTAATTGACCGGGACCATCTAAAATTTCTCTATAGCCACTTATCGGTCATTGTTCTAAGCCTATTAGTAGTTCCTGCATGACATGTATATGAATGTCAGTACCAGCCTTGCATAAAAAATAGTGAAAATTACATATAAATGGAGTCAAAGTTCCATATTTACTTAGAGGCTGAGTCAAAATTCCATATTTCTCTAAAATGGATTGTTGAGGTGGCACATGGTTTTTTACTGTTTAGAAATTGTGGTGCCTAAAATACCCTTCCGCGAAGGTACTACTTTTTCTTCGAAGGTACTACTTTTTTGAACTGAAGATACTACTTTTTGGCGTCCAGGTACCATGTTTTTTAAACACCCGCGAAGGTACTACTTTTTCTCCGAATGTACTACTTTTTTGAACTGAAGGTACTATTTTTTTGCACTGAAGGTACTACTTTTTTGTTAGGGAAGGGCATTTTAGGCACCACAATTTTCTAAACAGTAAAAAATCATGTGCCACCTCAGCAATCCATTTTAGAGAAATATGGAACTTTGACTCAGTCTCTAAGTAAATATGGAACTTTGACTCCATTTATATGTAATTTTCCCTAAAAAATACCTCTTTTAAATGCTAGTTTAATGACATCTCTTAGTGGTCATGATCAATATAAATTTTGTGGTCATATATCTCTACAAGTAAAGAGTAGGTTTTAGATGACTTAGTGGAACATTAGCTACATTTTCAATGTTCATGGGAGTGATTAATACCTATATTCTCTTCTTAATGGGAATGATTTTATATGATAGAAGTGGTTGGCATGAAGAAAGACAGCCATTTTTTTTTGTTCCATACCATGTTGAAAATGTATTTTGTTCATAGTCCCTTTCTTTTCTAATTCTTTTTTGGGTTAATTCCAACCACACCTCCTGACGTTTGCCCATATTCTACTTACACCCCCCTATATTTCAATATTCTACCGACCTCCCTTAAGGTTTTGGTTTGTATAGCAAATTACCCCCGCCGTTAAGCAACTCACGGTGTGTGCTGATGTCAACATCAAAAAATTGTTAAAAAGTCAATTTTAACCTTCTAATGTCTAAAATGACATCTTTAATCTCAGTTCACCAATACGCAATTACAAAACTACCCTTAATTAACTCAAGAAATACCCTACCTTTCACTTATATATATATATATATATATATATATATATATATATATATATATATATATTCATATATCATCTTCTTCCTTTCACACAGACCCATTAATTTTTTAAAAATATTTTATTTTATTTTATTTTAATTTCTTTTTAAATTATTAATTAAATTAATTTTTTCAATTTGCCCATGGGTCAAGGCTTATATAATAGTCCTGCTAATCACCAATGAATAAAAATTTCATCCATGAATAATGATCATTCGATATAACTGTAGTTGAATTTCTTACTCATTTTATGAATAAAAGATTATTACGCTATAGATATTATCCACACACTATGTATGCATGTATCCAACCAACGAATGATTAAATAGAGAGAGAAAGTCTAAGCGTAAACTGGCCAATCTCCACTTAAGATACTTTTTGTCCCCTGAATAATTGTGCAATGTGCATGCCACCATATAGGTGATGTTATATATATATATATATATATATACCAGAAAGTCACGGTCGAGGGTTTCGGTGCCGACGATGTTGATTAACAGCGCAATGTTGGAGAAGCTGTAAAGGCTGGGTCCGGTCTCCCGTCGGAGCACGAGACACTGATTTTTGCCGCCGATTACGATGCCATCGAGCCTGTAATCCGACGTGGAGAGACATTAATTGCGATGCCGTAGAGGTTGTAATCCGACACCTGCTGCCGACATCAACTTGGTCTTTAGCGTCGTCTTCCGCAATCGACTTCGCCTTCGATTCTTCGGCATTGACGTCCATTTGGCGGTGGTGGAGGCGGAGGAGCCGACATCTGACTTCGTTTTTCTTCACAGGAATGGAATCAGATTCTTGGGGTTGTGATGGTGATGGTTCGGATGGTGACAAAGTTACAGAGCTAGGCCGAATTCTTCTACAGAGCTCTGGCGTGTCTATGGCCGTTTTGAATTGGGTTTCACCGAGGTGGGTTGAGG